CCACCATTGCATTACAATTTGATATGTTGTTCTACACCTAATTGTACTCCATTTGGTTGTGCTCTCATGTGTTAAATCCCATTCTTTAGCTCACAGAGGCCATAAATCAACTCAAGATAATGATACATAATGATACAAAGTAGATGTTTACACATACCTAGATTATGCGCAGGGGAGGAGCTTCCTCTGAATGACATCATCAATTCTATTCAAAATACTTTTTCTTTAGCAACAATATATGAAATCAAATTGCCCACTATATTGGAAGGGCCTTGGAAATGGAACGGAGAGCTATGTCTGTTCAAGACTGTTTATTTCTATACTTAAAACAGACATTTTCAGTCTTCCCCAAAAAATATTTTAATCTCCCCTCTCAAACTGATGAGTGCCATTTCTTTTAGTGTTTGGCTGTCATGTCAGTTCTACAGTACTGATGAGGTGTACTTTAATGTCACTGACCTTCTGGAGCCAGTATAACTAGAATGTCAACACATTCTCTTGCCGCAGATGTTTTTTTTTTAAACAAATGCCCTCTGTTTCCAATTACCTGTGTTAGAAAACAAGCAATTCCCAATTCAAATGAAAAGATACCAGCACTGTATCTTATTAAGTATCAGATTTACATCTTAAACTATATACTTCTTTGAGTTCAGTTCATGTTTAATTCTGTTGTACTGCATGATTTATTTTTGCCAAGCTGTCCTTGAGTGCATTAGAGGCATGTTTTTATTCATGCATTTTATGTTCGTAGCCTCTTTTATTCAGCTGTTTTCAGCTGTTTTCTCAAATAGAGTATTTAAACACCTGGGGTCTCTGCTTTGTGGTCTAAGATCAATCATTGAATTTGCCTTTGTTATTCCTCAAGGTGACAATGTGTTCGAGCCGCCCCCCAAATACAGAATGAAATGTTCTTATTTTTGTTGTTTAGATTAAGATCAATCCCCAGTTTTACGACTATAAAGGAAAAACTGTTATAAAGGGGAAAGTAGTGCTTAGCTTTATTTAATTGAGTCTGTTGTGTTGTAGGTGTGATTCCGTGAAAGGTCAGAAGAGAGAGAGGGAAACTGTCATTCTGGCAAACAACAAGCTTTCAAACCAAACGCTCCTCTGTATCTCCCTCCTTTTCTCCCTCTTTCTCTTTATCTGTTACTATTGCTTGATCGCTCTACCTCCTTCAATCCCCCTCTCCCTCTCTTTTCCCCTCCTTCTATTCTCCCTCGCTCTAACTCCTTCAATCCCCCCTCTCTTTTCCCCTCTCTCTCTCTCTACCTCTCCCTCCCTCTACCCCATACCATCTCTTCCCTCTCGCTGTGTGAATCAGTCAGCTAGCTATAGGTGATCCCGTCAATGCCTCGGCTAAACTTAAACCTGTCTCAGGCCCCGACACCCCTCGTTCCCACACAGGTCGTTCCTGCTTGGGTTGGGATGGGGGGGAGGGTGAGGGGAAAGGTTGTGGGTATAATCGCTCAGTCGGTGTCAGGAGGGGTTTGGGAGTTATTGTCTCCTATAATTAACTGGTTATCAAACAAGAACATTTCATTAAGGTACAATTACCGGCTAATTGTTGCGGGACACCCCCCCGTGTCAGGATTACAACCGCAGCATATGCTCCCTCGAAGCTTTGTTATTTCTAATTCATCCCGACCTGCAGCCTCTGACGGCTTCAATTGCTAATGAATCCACTCACTTTGGAATAATTAGAGAATCCTTAGGCATGGTAATTTATTTAAAAGTATCCGTCGTCGGGCGAATCATTAGCTGTGTTAAATTAATTTGAAATTAAAGCTGCTGGGAGTACTTTGGGATTCATTAAATAGGCAGCGCCGGCTCTATCAATATTTAAGGGGTGAGGAGTTAAGGTCGCAACTTCTAAACCCGGAAATATCGTCACAGTCTGTTTTTTTTTTCTTGTTCTAGGAATAAGATATATTTACAGATTTGTATATGAATATATGAATTGTGGAAACAAAGCAGAAAGGAAAGATATATTATCATGTCTGCCATATATGGGTTCACGCCCCTCCTCTCCCATCACTTTCACTCTATTTTGACATTCATGCAATTATTTAAATTTTTAGTAATTTAGCAGACGCTCTTATCCAGAGCGACTTACAGTTAGTGAGTGCATACATTTTTCATACTGGCCCCCCGTGGGAAACGAACCCACAACCTTGGCGTTGCAAGTGCCATGCTCTACCAACTGAGCTACAGGGGACCTTTATGGAAAGGATAGAATGAAATAATGCAAATATATCATTATATGGGAGGATAAACATCATTTCTTGGGGCATATTCCTCCAACTATAGAAGGCTGCAGTGCGAGTATCCATTTGTGATGTGTGTGTGTGTGTATGCATACGTGTGTTTGCATCCCTTACAAAAACGTTTGGGAAAAACATTTGCTTTTCGTACACGTGTGAAGTTTTACATGTACATTTTTCACATGACTCGGATGCGTGATTTTCCAACATTTCACATGTGATATTCTAAGTTTCACGTGTGCTTTTGTAACCAGTGAGATTTTAACCCTGGTCTTCCATGGAAGAAGACACTGATTTTGATTTTAACATGTTAAACGGGATAAACAAGGAGACACAGAGAGATTATTTTCACTGGGTTTCTCTTCCAATGTATATTTATTATCAATTTCTCACAATCTCAGAATATTGACTGTTCAAATCTAAATTATCTCTTTGTAGAGGTCAGGGGTTAAATCAGGGGTTCTTAAACGTTTTTAGCTCGAGACCCAAATTAGAAATTGACCATCCTCCCGTGACCCAAATCGTCCTCCAACGACCCAAATTAAGAAGAAATAGAGTGTGATTATAGATGTATTCTCATAACTCGTGACCCACCTTTCACATCCCCAGGGCTCACTTTGGGTCCTGGCCAATAGTTTAAAAAAAATGTGTTTACATTCATTGAAATAGCAAACACATTCACACATTTAGTTTGAAGATGTAATCCGGAGACAGATGTGTTATACAACAGCCTTCTGTGCGTTCTCTTTTCGACTCCCTCTGCATATTTGCAATAAAACGCCTTAGCCTATCATACACTAATTCCACCGGGCATTCCACTGATTTCAAAACTCGGTCCTCCAGAAAGTGGAGAACAACACTTTTGCAGTTCTACTACGTGATATCTTTCAAAAAAGCCGCATTAGAAAGGATTACCTACACATACTGACCAGCTCATGTTATAGACATGGCAGACCAATCCGAACTCATCTCTCGGCATGTCCAGCCCATCCATTATCTCAGCTAATCATGGCTAGCGGGAAGGTTCCTGTCTTTTTCCATGGCTAAACCAACTAGGCTCGTAATTTAACAATTTTATTCCTATTTACAGATGGCATACACGTTTGTTATTAAGGCACATGAAAGTTCACATGTTCCAGAAGGCATTTCTGTAAAAATTTTGATTAAAAAGTTTACTTTCAAATGCCTCTCCTGTGATGTAGTGACGGGCGACATACGCCTACTTTCCTGCAATTAGTCACAAATGTGTTTAACGTGATTGTTTGTCACATTTGAACTTGCAATTCCAAATGTAAAAGTGAGATTTTCACATCTGAACGTTTTTAACTTGTGAAACCGCAAATTCACACGTGAATCTGCAAATCACATGTGATGTGAAAACATGTTATTCTCCTCACATGTGAAAAGGTGGTGTTAACATGTGAACTCTTAATTTAATACAATTGAAAATATGGTTTCACAAGAAATGAGATTTTGACATGTGAATCAGCTAATTTCACTTGTTTTTTCGTAAGGGATACCTGTGTCTGTGTCTTTCAGTGTGTACATGTGAGCGCGCCTATATGTGCATTGCTGTCTTGTCTATGTGCATTTGCAATTCATGAATACCTAATGGTAATTCTAGTCCAACACTTTCAAAGAGAATGACCTGTCTTTAAGACCACAGAGGGGCTCAATGAAGAGAACTTTAATTATCCTCGATTTGCTCATGCAGTCTGTTGTATAGAAGAACTCCCAAGAGAAGCTGAGGAATGCGTTCCAAATGGAACCTTATTCCCTACATAGAGCACTACTTTTGACCAGGGCCCATAAGGTGGCCCATATGGCTCTGGTCAAAAGTAGTGCACTATGTAGGAAATAGGGTGCCATTTGGGACGCAGTCGAGGACTTTCCTATGAATCTAGGGATGGACTTGGCACTTGTTTTCTTATCTTCAAAAAGGAACGGGGGCCTCAGTCTCAGCCTCAGCCAACGCTATCAACCGCACCTGACTGACACCCTATTACATTAACTTGAATTGCCCTTCTGAACGCATCATTTGAGGTTCGTTCGGCGGATCCCTATTGCCTCGCGCTAATGCTGTTTGGAATTTTTGTCTCGTCTCGACGCTTTGATGGGACATCAACTCTGATTTAGCAATGTGTGTGCTTTAATGGAGGCAAATACAGAGAGGTGAAAAGCAGAATAGTGGTTTTTTTTAAGTCTCGCTCTCTACCTTTAATTTCATCATACCTCTCTCTCAAAACACCTCACATCTTCAATGACTGTGGGAAAACTGACGGGAAACTGAATGGGATGATAGCATGTTTATGTTTAATTTTTTCCAGTGGTTCACATGACATTGACACTATATGCATCGTGGAGTAAAATGTGGTGTTGTCTAGGTTGGGAAGGAATAGTGACCAGGGGTAAATTCAGTGTGATGAAACGTTCAGAACGTTGCTGATAGAAATGTAACGAATAGAGCCGACAAAATCCTCTATTCAACCTGTCAGACAATGATATATGTTCTACGCTATACATTTCTATCTGAAAGGTCTGTAACACCCTCCTGAACAGGACCGCAGGGCTTTTAGCCTTTAAAAAAAGAGTGTCCGTTAAATGACATATGTGATATAAAATGCCTAGCCTAGCCTAAAAAGGAGCATCTGCCAAATGACTAAAACATCATGTAAAATGCCTAGCCTAGCCTAGCGCCTTGTCACTGACCACTGCTTTGTTTCTGGTTGTCTCTCGCAGGGCTACAAGAGGAAAACAGAGGCTGCCAAGAAGGAGTACCTGAAAGCCCTGGCCGCGTACCGAGCCAGTCTGGTTTCCAAGGTAACAGCGGAGGTCACATCTCTGATATACATGGGTCAGTGGCGATAAAAGGGATGATGAATTAGATGGAGAATTCCTCTCTCATCCCGGGGGAGGGTCTCCGTGCAGTGCCGCTTGAGGAGGGGGTGTGTGCTCCGAAGAGAACGGTGAAATTAGGTCCCAAACACACACCTTTATTTGCCTGTGTTATGTGCAAAACACGGTGAGGGAGGGAGGGATGAAAGGTGTGTGTGTTGTCTGTGTGGGAGAGAGTGAGGGTGTATGCAGAATGCGTGTGTGTGTTCTTAAGTACTGTATGTATGTGTGTGTGCTTGCTTGTGTATTTGTGTGTGTGTGTGTGTACCTGTGTGTGTTCATGTGTGTGTGAACGCGTGGGTGTGGGCATTACCTAGCATGGTGCCACCTGGTTGTGTCTGTTTTTTTAAATGAGGAACAATTGTGTGGGCTGCCTGAGGCTTGCTCACATCGACAGTTTCTTTGACTATATTCTGGGTTGTTGGAGATGAGATTTGATACAGATGTCGGATCTTAATTTGACCCCTTTCGTCACAGGAGGAAAATAATCCTGCAAAAGGAGGATTTGAATTAATATTTATTTTAGACGCGTTGTTACAGGGTTAAAACAAAAAACAACTAAAAGGTTAACAGTTTAGGCATTAATTCAGAATGGTTAAGGTTAGGGTCGGGCTATGGTTTGGAGAAGGCTTCAAAAACAAAAAAAACGCCTATGTATCATCAGTATTCATATCATTCTTAGAGCTTGCTAGAGCATTGTGAACTACCGTAGCGCATTGGTCTAAGCAGCATGCTCTGGTGCCGAGCCTCAAGAGTTCACGACCAGTGCTGGGCGATCTAGTGACAAGCCTGAGCCTACATGGCTATGTTTAGACAGGCAGCCCAATTCTGATAACTTTTCCACTAATTGGTCTTTTGACCAATCACATCAGATCTTTTCACATCAGATCTATTTGAGATCGGATTGGTCAAAAGACCAATTAGTGAGAAAAAAAAACATCCGAAGATGTCAAACGAAAGTCTGATAATCAGAGAAAAGTGTCTCAGCTCAATGAAATCGTCTTTGGATAGTCTCAAAAGCATAAACGTCTTAACAGCTTTACGAAATGAAATATTAAAGCCACACAATACAGGCTTTCAAGGCACACCAAACACCATAGCCTAACTAAATTGAGAAATTATACATAACCTATCTATAAAACGTGGGCGAGCATCCACACAGCAGGAAAGTTTATCGTTCTACAGTACGTCTACATCTGTCAATCAACTGATGGCCCAAATCAACTCAGCCAGGGAAACACAGTAGCCTAATATCAGTTTTACATTTTAGTAGACGCTCTTATCCAGAGCGACTTACAGTTAGTGAGCATACATTTTTAAATTTAATTTTTTCATACTGGCCCCCCGTGGGAAACAAACCCACAACCCTGGCGTTGCAAGCGTCATGCTCTACCAACTGAGCTATACGGGACTATATTTTCACACCTTTCATTATGTTTCAATGGATGGCTAACGGGTAGCATACAGAATGTATTGGAATATACTCAAATAACAAGGGGCCTATTGCAAACATCGATGGCGCTAGATTATCGCCAGCTGATGTCTCGTTAAACCATCAATACGCACTAAATTCACCCGCACAGCTGATCTCAATTGCAATCATTATTGGTCATCTCATTACCGCTCCCTCAAAGATGATGCCGGTGTTACTTAGTCTGTATGTAGTGTGTGTGTGGGGTGTCAGTGTAAGTATGTGTGAGTAGAGTCCAGTGTGTGTGCATAGAGTCAGTGCAAGAGAGCAAAAAAGGGTAAATGCAGGTAGTCTGGGCAGCCATTTGATTAGCTATTTAGCAGTCTTGTTTAGCAGTCTTATGGCTTGGGGGTAGAAGCTGTTCAGGGCCCTGTTGGTTCCAGACTTGGTGCACTGGTACCACTTGCCTTGCGGTAGCGAAGAGAACAGTCTATGGTTTGGGATGCTGGAGTCTTTGAAAAAATGTTGGGCCTTCCTCTGACACCGCCTTGTATAGCGGTCCTGGATGGTAGGGAGCTCGGCCCCAGTGATGTAGTGGGCCGTACTCCCCACCCTCTGTAGCGCCTTGCGGTCGGGTGCCTTGCAGTTGCCATACCAGGCGGTGATGCAGACAGTCAAGATGCTCTCAATGGTGCAGCTGTAGAACTTTTTGAGTATCTAATGTACTTCTAACATCGTTACATTGCTTCATCCAATCATTGTTCAAACTTTCTTCTTTCCTCTATATATTTAAATATCTAAAACTTGAACATATATACTAATATTTAGACTTCAGACAACATCTTGTTTTCCAAACGTTTAAGCTTGTAAAATTACACTCTAACTATGAATCCAATGTAGTATATCAATCCTGATATACATATTCAGAACCCGATTATATGCATAATACAGGCTTGAATCATGATTCTACTAATATTTTTAATGTGCCAGTCTGAGTGCCAAGCACCTATTTTCTCAATTTCCATGTCTTCACTCCATTGTTTTCCTTTCACACAAACCCAAATTGCATTACCATGTTAAACACCCTCCTACCGATCTCCATGGCCTCCCACTTCCTCCAAGGCTTACAAGCCCAAAACAAGTGCCTTGATTAAGGCATGAACAGTTTATTCATCAACCTCTTTTTTCCCTGTGAAGGTTTTTTCCCTTTAATAAAGCCCATTCTCATCACTCGTTTACGTAATTAAATATTTATTTCTGACAAATCTCGTATTCAGAGGCTTGATTGATGCGTCTGCAGATTGGCAGGCATTTAAAAGAAATTAAAACAGACAGAAACAACTGCAAATCTACTATGCAATCACAACCACTCAGAACAAGACACATAGTACATCTAGCCATTCAAAGGGAGTCCTCTTTAAATAGTGTGTTTTAATTGCTGACGAGAGAGTCTTTTCAAAGGAAGTGGGAATCAAGGAGAGAGGAATTGAAGGTAATTGGAAGTCGACAGAGCGTCGTTTTTGGATGAGTCACGTGCTCCGTGCGTTTGACGTGCACCTGTTGCCATTTTGTTTGTGACGCACACTGATAATCTATGTTGGTGGGAAAAGTACTCACACACAAATGGAGCTTGATGACTACAGTAAAAAGCCCCAAGTTAATGAGTTTCATTCATCCCGAAAGTCAAAGTGGTGTTTTGTGCTTTTCAACCCACCAAGGGACACATGAAGGGGTAGTTCAACAAATTACAAAAGTATATATTGGTTGCCTTACCTTGTCCCTTTAAGGTGGGAATATCACATTTCTAGATGTCAACAAATAATAATCATAGAATAGCGATATGTTAGTATATTGCAGTACAGTATAGTATTATAGTATGGTAGTATAGTATAGAGTAGTATAGTTCATTCTTCATCATTTAATTTTCCACTTGACCCTCTCTCTCATCTTTACTCATCCATCCATCTTTCCATTGATTATTTATCTGGCTCTTTTCAATATATGTACGCCATTACCAAATAGCAGACAGCGATAGATCACGTCAACAACTGTGACAGCTAATGAGAGGGACATATTTCATACCGCAGCAACGTATACATATATATTGCCATTTAAAGTCTATGAAAGGATGGAAAGTCGAATGAAATAAAGCACCTCAGTGGATGCGGATATATTCATATGCGGATGCGGATATATCATTGTATACCATACATGTTTAGTTGTGTAATGAATTGGTTAATATATTTGCATTGACATAAACTGTATTTCAACAATATCAGTTAGTTGTGCAATATATTATATTGTCATATCGTCTGAACATTCCTTTTTCTCCCTCTGTCCACAGACCTACAACGACCTGGTGGTGTTATATAGTAAATAGTGTGTAATATATGTTGGCAATATACACTGAGTGTACGAAACATTATGGAGTTGCACCCTTCCCTGTCATCGTGTGTAAAGCTTCCCAGATGCTGTGCATTTCTACACTGGATTTTGAAGTGGACCATTAACACAAGTGGGATCATAGTCTTGACACACTCAACGTGTGCCTTCTACCTTCACCCAATGGCCCTTCATTCACACGAAATGTCTCAGTCTCATGTCATGATGAAGTGCAAGTGGGATCAAGCTTCACTGATCATGGTTGTTAAAGACGGTGTTCAGTGTGTATGTCAGTAATGTATATTTATACTGTATATTAACTGTCCTTTTTGTCCCTTTTGTCTTCCCCTCTGTCCTCAGACCTACAATGACCCGGTGGAGACAAAAGGTGCCCAGACGAGCCAGCCTTCCTCGCACATGATGCCCCCCAATCCGCCCCTGTACAGCGTGCCACCCCAGCCCTCCTCCCCCTACAGTCTGGGGCCGGGGGGCTTCCCCCTCTCAGACCTGCAGAGCTACGCGGGAGCGCCGCGTCACGCCCTCTCCCGGACCCTCAGCCAGTCCCAGATGCTGCCCAGCATTAGTGCCTCTCCCCCCTCCTCCTTCCAGATTAGCCCACCTCTGCACCAACAGCTCTCCCTGCACCAGAGCTCCCTCCTCAACCAGCCAATCCGCATGCAGCATGGCCAGTCCCAGCCAATCATCTCCCACCAGATGGGTCTCCAGGCCTCCCTTCACTCACCTCCTCCTGGGCAGCAGGTTAGTGTGACTCGGAGAGTGCCGATATCACCAGCATATCACATATCACTTGTGCACTAAATTCTATGGAATAGTGGACATGCTTACTTTGTAGTATATGCTAGTGTGGACAGTATAGACCCAAAAATATATAATAATAAAACATACAAATAAACATTTACGTTCCTCAGCTTTTCGTCAAGCATGTATACATTCTACCCAGATTACGTTGAATAGCAATCTCTCCCTGCCTCTCTTCATTCTCCCCTCCTCTCTCTTTTAAATTCAAATGCACAGTACATGTTATTGGCTCCCTTGAAGGACTATGTTGCCAAACCAATTAGCAATTAAACTAATCTCAAATTAAAATGTAACAGAATTTGGCATTCGGACCATAAGTAAAGAGCAAACCTCTCTCCCTCTCTCTCTACTCCCCTGCTTTTCTCTCTCATTCTCCCCTCTCCATATGGCCAGTATACGTTGTCAAAAACTGAAAACTATGGCCTCTCTCTCCCCGTCTCCTATAGGGATTCTCCCACCTACAGTCTGAGTACCAGAAAAGTGTTGGTTCCCAGTCCCCGGCGGCCCCCAACCCTGGGGGTAGACAGAGCCACGATTGGGACAGTGAATACTGCGATAGGGAGTGTGGTGGCAACCACTGCAGGTGAGCAGCCCAGACCAGTATCGGCTTTGTACAGGAAACGATTGTTAATTCCAATACTGTTTATACCTTAGAATAGGGCCAGTTTCCCTGACACGGATTAAAGCTAGCTCAGGACCAAGACATTATTTTAATGGAGATTTTCCATTCAGAATGATGCTTTAGTCTAGTACTTGGCTTAACCTATGTCCGATAAACTCGCATAGATAGTATTATTTAATGTTAGCTTAACTGTTCAAATGAAAGGACTTTGTTGAATGCCCTTGAATACACAGTTGTATTATTTAATGCAGGCTCAAATGTTCATTCAAAAATCCCTTTGAGACTACGGCACTTTGTAGGCATATATCTTTGAATTGACTTTGTACCATTTCAGTCCTCAATGTTGGCTCAGCTATCTACTGCATATGAAAGGGCGTTTGATACGACTCATGTGCCCCTTGAAAATTCAACGCTTTAGTACATAACGCTGGCTTAGTCAACTAAATAAAAAATATTGTTGATTCTACTGTGTAAACCTTCGAGAGTACACATAGTTGTACTACTTAATGTGCTGAATCAACCTCTGAGGCCTCTATATATCACCTTTGAATATATACTGAACAAAAATATAAACGCAACATGTAAAGTGTTGGTCTCATGAGCTGAAATAAAAGATCCCAGAAATCTTCCATACGCACAAATATCTTATTTCTCTCAAATGTTGTGCACACATTTGTTTACGTCTCTGATAGTGAGCATTTCTACTTTGCCAAGATAATCCATCCACCTGACAGGTGTGGCATATCAAGAAGCTGATTAAACAGCTTGATCATTACACAGGTGCACCTTGTGCTGGGGACAATAAAAGGCCACTCTAAAATGTGCCGTTTTGTCACACAACACAATGCCACAGATGTCTCAAGTTTTGAGGGAGCGTGCAATTGGCATGCTGACTGCAGGAATGTCCACCAGAGCTGTTGCCAGAGAAATGAATGTTCACAACTGCAGACCAACCGCAATTTATTTAAATTGACTGATTTCCTTATATGAACTGTAACTCGGTAAAATCTTTCAAATTTTTTCAGTATACTATTGAATCAGTATTACTACTTAATGCTGAACATGTATTATCCACGTATTATACTTTCTCAGTTGTTTCTATTGAAATGTCTGTCAATTTATTCAGTGTAAATTTTTCCGCTATGGCACTGAATAATCATCAAAACTTCTGTTAGGAACATCTGTTTGGAGTGTACTCCGACAAACACATGACGAGCTTTATTACTTTAAGGTTAGTTTTACAGCTGTCCCTACTGTACTTCAAAGGGGAAGCGTTGAAAGATTTTTTATCGGCATGTTTTTTTGGGGAGTAAGTAGTATCACCTCCCTGAGTCTGTTTTTTTTATTTCCTATTCCTTCTCCTCTCACCGTCTCGCTCTCTTCTCGTTTTCAGTGGCAGCATGATAGCCAGGGACAAGCCACTCTACCTCACTTGAAGCCGGAGGCCGCCATCAACAAGAAAAGACACCAGGGAGTCAGCCCTCAACATCCCCACCCCACACACAGCACCTACCCGACCCATCCACCCCAACCCACGCCTACCACCACCAACCACAACCTTTTTTTTGTCAATGTAATTTGGGGTTTTTAGAAGGATTTGTGCAATTCTGACGACTACTAGCGATCCCTCTCCTTTTTAATTTTTTCGCAAAGCACTTACAAATATCCAGGCATATTTCTTTTCGCGCCGGATTCTAGAGCACTCATCTTTGTCTCAGAGTAAAAAAGTGAACTACCATGAAAATAGTCCCCCTCAGGGACTAAACTGAGCTTTAATTAGAATAAGAAGAGCAAAAAGCCTTCTTCTTCTCCTTCTTCTTCTCCTTTAATCCTATTTACATTTATTTTGTTTAGTTTCCTTGTTGTTGTTGTTGTTTTTATTTATTTCTCGCTTGCTACATTTGCTTTTGCTAATAACAGTCCCTGTACTGTAGGGAAAATACTCTTCTGGTAGGTTTCAGCACACAGGGCTTGATGTTACTGTAGCTTTGCTTTAGGGTCTGTGACTTATAATAAAACAAAGTGACAGGGGGGAAGGATAATTACATACATTCTTTTTTTGTAATATGAAAGACCCATGGAGGTTTACCAAGCTGTCACAGTGTGATTGTAAATATCACTTTTATGGGATCAAATTGGGAATTCGAAGTCCAGATGGCTTTTTTCTTCTTCTTTAATATTACCTGTAAGTCATTGGTTTGTATAAAAAAAATATCTTGTGTGCCTGTGTGTGTGTGTGTGCGACTGTGCGTATGAGTGCGCACGTGCATGTGGGTGTGTGCGTGTGTGTTTTGTGAATTTTAACAGCCTGTGCAGGTGGATTTCAGAGGAGTACTTCACACACTCGATCTTGCATTAAATCTGTGCTCACTGGTGTGATTTTTCCCAATAAAGTTCAATCTCAAACCGAATACAGAGTATGTGTCCCGCAGATCATTAAATGGAAAGAGCGAGAGAGAGAGAGAGAGAGAGAAAAAGGCAATGAGAAAGAGCGAGATGTAGACACGTACACTCACAGGTGAAAAGTGTTGCCTCAAAAATCCTTGGCTACTGTCTTTGTTGATTTTATTTTTAATTCACCTGGTCATGTTAATTGTCAATTTTCACCCACTCAACATAAAGAGGTAAACTAAAAATGCTATATGTTAATGGTTATGTCACAGAAACATAGCAGTGGGTTTCTAGTAGCTTCTTAGGTGTTCTATTGTGTTGATCTCATCTTTAAGTTTTGTGATAAATATTAATGCATTTGATGACAAAGATATATGTTCTTATTTTCACTGTAGCATAATTTCAATTTTTTTTAGTTGTAATAGAAATATAATAACATTTAAACCTGCCAATTGTAGTTATTTTATTTGTAAAGCCAGTAATGATAATTATTTAAAAATTGTTATTAACTTTTTTTGCAAGTTGCCCGTCAGCTATTTGACAGGTTTCTTATTTACGAAAGAACATGAGATCATTTTTGCTTCTTACAATGGAGGTGCATTTTATTCAAATTGTATTGTTTTTATGTTTGGTTTTATGATGATGATAATATTATTTTGGGGGGGTATTTTTATTTTACATTTATATGCTGGTTCTTTCTTTCCTCGCCGGCGACATTATTTTCTGTCACAATGCTTATTTTATTTCAAATCTCCGTAATAAAAAAACGTTAAAAGAGAAACAGGCTGTCACTGACTCTTTTTTCCAGCACAGAACATTCTATTTTCTTCCCTTTCAGTCAAGTATCCGATCTAAAATGGCATCCACTTAACACTTGGACAATGTCCTAAAACAAGGCATTTATGCTTCCATAATATCTATCTTTTGTTTCCAACCCAGAACATTCCATATGTTTCCTATACTTAATTTTAGTCTTATGGCTGGACTCAAATCAAATGCCATGGCTTTACTAATTAGCTGTCGTCGCTAGAGCTAACACCAACACCGGCCCCAATCTGAATGTTGTCCTCAAACTTTCTCCGCAACCATGAGCAGATGCAGGCTTGAATTTGCTTTGCTGCTGTGTGAAAGTGGTGCATGGTGTGGTGGGCGTCAAGTCAGAGCTAAAGAGAACAGAGAAATGCATGGCGTTTGTACGGTATACAAACTCAGGCATCCATCCAAAATACAGATTTTACCCCAATTGCACACAAGTCTTCCAGATAGAGGAGAGAGAGGAGCTGTTCAAGGGAACTGTCACGACCGCTCCATTTTATGTTTTATTCATTTGCGGCTAGCATCTCCCTCTCTCTCGCAGTATTGAATTGGCAAATAGATCATTATTGAACAATTGGAAAACGTGAACTGCCACTCGTGATATGACACACATTATATGAAAATCAGTCATACATTCTTAATGGAATACCAGATAATGGAGTTTTTTTTGGCACAGCCACGTTGGGCTCTTTCTTTGTGTGTGTGTGTGTGCGTGAGTGTGTGTCCATGCGTGTGTGCATATGTGAACACAATGTTTGGGAAGGTTGGGGTGATGGCTCCTCTGTGCAATGTTGAAATGGACATTATTTTCCCTTTCCTTGAAGTTACAATGCCCTTCCTTTATTTGACAGTTTCTCCACCTTGATGCTTACTACTCTCTATGGTCATTCTGACAGGCATTCTGTGCACCGCAGTAAACTAAACAGTAAATATTGAGCCGCCAGCCTCAATTTGACAATTTTGGCAGGTCCCTTAATCCTATCGTCCTTCACAAAGTCAAACTCACGGGGGAAAAGTAAAATGAAACCTACAATTTATAGTAGAAGAAGTCATTGAAAAGAGTCAAAACACTTGTATCCATACAATCAAAAAAGCTGCGCTTTTCCATATTAAGGACAACAGACCTGGGCCTGTATTCACAAAGGGCCGGGAAACCAGCCCAAAGAGTGTTGATCTAGGACCAGTTTTGCCTTTTAAATCATACTGAATAAAAGGGAGAATCTGATCCTAGATCAGCACTCTGAGACACTTTATGAATACGGGCGCAGAGATACAGTAAGTAGGTGATTACGTTCTCTGTTTGTTGAGGTCTGTTTAGATTGGTAGCGATCAGATGTATGGTGTACATACTAGGATATAAATGAGTTGGTAAAGCAGATACAGGGGTGTGACATTTGAGGTGGACACTGGTGTGGCCTTTGTGGCCTTGGTTTGGCGCTGTCTACATGGAGACAATCTGTTAGATCAGAACAGAAACTTTTTCACCATGGTGTGGGCATTGGTGGAAAGTGTCAAACCCTCTTTTTTCTGACAAACACATTTTTTTTCTTCATTTGCTCTGTTGTGGTCGCATAACGGACCAACTCTGGATTCCAAGTCAACATTTTTAGCTCACCCGAACACATGAGATGGTGCCTAGCTAGTGAGCCTCAGTAGAGAGTTAGAGAGTAGAACGTCAGTGTTAGGTGCGGCCTTCAAAATCACATGGCCACCTGACTAAAAACCTTGTCAGTTGCAACTTTGGTTCTGTGTTAGAGCGAGAACAGGAAATGTAGGCGGTTTTGACAAGAACAGGGTTTCACTTTGTGTTCATTTAATCTGTTTGGTGTTTGGAGATTCAACAGTATGAAATGATTCCAAAAAGTGCCCGTGCAATTTGCATTTATAGCAATCCTGCGAGAAATGATCATGTAAAAGTTCTATGTTGGGATGTAGTTATCATTAAGCTAATATTTTAGTAGAAATGCAGTTATTACAGTAAAATGTGTCGAGATCAGGCTGTGAAAAATATGTGTGGTTATCATACATGTTATATGTATGATAAAATGCGTAATATAAAAAATGTCCCTTTGATATACTGTATGTATATTTTATTCCATCATAACAATAATGGCAAAAGGTTTTATCATACGGGTTGTTTTCCCAACCCAATATCAGGTTCACTGTAAATGAAAGGATATGTACAGTATTGTGACAGAGTTATCTAAGAATATGACAAGGTGCCATGTTTATGATGATAAATGCCCCTAAGACAGATTCTGAAACTTCAGGTGAGACTGAACTTCTCTCTATGACTGGTCACCAGAGCAGTGTGCTGAATATTACTGTTGCTTTCGAATTACCATATTACCAGTCCTTAAGAAGCTCTTTAAGATCTTGATAACGTTACCTCCTAAAATGTACATTTGAAATTATTTTTAGCCACTTGCTCTCTTTAAGTGTCTTTTAGTCTCTTGTTTGATTTATTGCTTTTTCTCCTTTCTGTTTTTCCGAACAGCTGAATACCTTTCCCAGCTCTGCAAATGTACTGTAGTTATGGCCTTAACAAAGGAATACATGAACACATAACATACATTGATTTAGTTTATGATCAATGAATGTATGAATGAACTACAGGCCTTTACACTCTTCCCATTGAGTGGGGATACCATTTATAAATAAAATAAATAAATATGCCATTTAGCAGACGCTTTTATCCAAAGCGACTTACAGTCATGCGTGCATACATTTTTGTGTATGGGTGGTCCCGGGGATCGAACCCACTACCTTGGCGTTACAAGCGCAACGCTCTACCAGCTGAGCATTTATGATGTTTATTCCACATCGAAATAGGTGCCATTTTACAACTTCAGGAAATGAACAGCATTGTTCATCAATGGCTATTTAGAGTGTCTTCAGAAAGTATTCACACCCCTTGATTTTTTCCACTTTTTGTTGTGTTCCAGCCTGAATGTAAAATGGCCGACACACAATACCCCATAATGTCAAAGTGGAATTGTGTTTTTAGAAATGCTTACAAATGAACGGAAAATGAAAAGCTGAAATATCTTGAGTCAATAAGTATTCAACCCCTTTGTTACGACAAGCCTGAATAATTTCAGGAGTAAAAATGTGCTTAACAAGTCACATAATAAGTTGCATGGACTCACTCTGTGTGCAATAATAGTGTTTAACATGATTTTTGAATGACTACCTCATCTCTGTACCATCACACATACAATTTCCTGAACGGTCCCTCAGTCGAGCAGTGAATTTCAAACACAGATTCAACCACAAAGACCAGGGAGGTTTTCCAATGCCTCGCAAAGAAGGGCACCTATTGGTAGATGGGTAAAAAAAAGCAGACATTGAATATCCCTATGAGCATGGTGAAGTTATTAATTACACTTTGGATGGTGTATCAGTACACCCAGGCTCTACAAAGATACAGGCATCCTTCCTAACCCAGTAGCCAGAGAGGAAGGAAACCAACTCAGGGTTTTCACCATGATGCCAATAGTGACTTTAAAACAGTTACAGAGTTTAATGGCTGTGATAGGAGAAAATTGAGGATGGATCAACATTGTAGTCACTTTACAATACTAACCTAAATGACAGAGTGAAAAGAAGGAAGATATTC